GTGATCAGAATTGGAATCGGCAGGAAAAAACCTGATCAGCACATCTCTACTTTTTTCCTCTCTATTCAGACTTTAAAAATGCTCTAATCAAATCTAATATTCTAGACCATGGGTCAGAAACCTCATCAATAACCAAGAGCCATGTCTGCCTTCTTCCCAGCTCAACAGCATTTGTTTAGAGACACAAAAGCAACAACACTCATCGATGAGACAAAGCTCATCTCTATAAGACCTGCTACAGGATATTTGTTCAGATTTTTAAACTATTTCATTTTTGGGTTTGTTACTATGATGGAATATTAGGACCATACTAAGGAAAAATGTAAATTACAAGGATAAAAACATCAAATCTCAAGCAGAATAAAGTCAAAATGAGACTTTATTTTTGTAGGATTCCGACTTTATTCTCACACAACTTTATTCTCTTAATATTTTGACTGTACTTTTGTTCTTTTATCATCTTAGCAATATCCTAATAATCCGTGGTATAATACATTTTGTTCTGGAATTTAATAAACAGTTTTGTCAATGAGGTGTTTGATTTGATTTTTGAAACTTTTGAACCTCAGTGCAAAAAAAAAAAAAAGAAAAGTTTGTCATATTAATGTTATTCTTTGGGGAAATCTTATGAATATATTGCACAAAAACACCCAAGAAAAACTGTTAAAGCTAGCATTCATAGCATGATTACCTTTACATTTTAAAATACTGTTAAATTCTTTAGTAGTTTTGACCGAAGTTATTATGAGGCACAGAGTAATTCTAGAGTGAAGACTCTGTAGGAAGCCTGTAGCTATATACAGAATTAAAGATTAGCCAGGAAATCTACAAAACAAGAAGAAATGTTGATTTCGTTTTAACCTGATACTTCAGTGTTTTTACATCAATTAACCTAAGTTAAAGTTGGCTTTTGAGGAGACAGTCCACAGAAAGATGCACAAAAGCTACTTGTTCTTAAATTCAAGTCAAAATCCTCCTAAATTCTGACCCGAAACTAGTCAAATAAAACACCTGCAGGGGGGAACCTGAACCAGCAGTGACTTACAGGCAGCCTCTTGCTGTTGAAGAACACTTTGACTCCCTTGGAGGAGCCAGCGATGTCGTACGCTCTCCTGGTCATCAGAGCCACCGTGTCTTTGTCCAGGATGCTCATCTTAAACTTGGCCAGGTCCGGCCTGAAGGTGATGCAAGTGTACTCCTCTCCTTCAAAAGGTTTGATGCTGGCGTCTCCCACTCTGCCCATGTTGTCGTACCAGGTCTGTGGAAATGTTAAACTGAATTTTCTCCTTTTAGGAAACAACCAAACAGATCAATATAACTCGTAGCTCCTCCCACCTGCTTGAAAACCTTCTTGGACTCCTTACAAGCAGTCTCCACGGTGAACTTTGTACTGAAGATATTGCAAAGTTTGGCGCCGTATCCGTTACGGCCACCTACATGAAAACAAGGAGGAAATTATTTTCCAGCATTATTGTTTTTCCAAAAACTTGATGTTGGAAATAAATCAATTAATCGCATAATAAATTAAAACGAGTCGAATAAACTCCATGTACATTTCTTTCTTTCTACCAAAACATGGATGACACAAATCTTCAGTTTGGTGATTTGGTCTCAACTAGTTCAATTTTTTAAGGAAACTTTTATGTACAGATTTCAGTATTTATTTTACTTGTCATTTTGGGTGTTTGGTTTATTTATTTTGGATATTTAAAATATCTTACAGTTCCAGTGTTATATGTTCATTGGAATTTAAAGTTGCGTACCTGCAGTATTATGCCATCATGTCATTTGAAAATGGTCTCTAAACAATAACATTATTTATCACAATACCTTCTGGGACAACTCATCGTCCAGAAGTTTGCTGGCCTAATCAAAAACAATAAACACAACACAATCAGCCTCACCCGTGACCTTCTTCTCGTCGTCGTCATAGTTACTGGACGTGAGGAGCTGCCCGAAGATGAGCGCAGGCACGTAGACCTTCTCCACCTTGTGCTCCACCACAGGGATCCCCTTCCCGTTATTCCACACACTGATGGTGTTGTTCTCCCTATAAAGAAACGCATGTTACCATCCAACTTCTCTGTGAGGAACTATGAGCTGCAGTGTAAACTGATGAGCAGAGATGACTCACACGTCGATGTTGACTCGGATGCAGGACATGCTCTTGTCCCTTTGCTTATTGTCGGCTGCATTTACTATCAGAAGAAAAAGAAAAACTTTAATATAAGAAAAGGGAACACAACACGGGATGATTGACGTTGCTCTTCTTTTTAAAGTCAGAAATGCTAATCACTCACCGAGTATCTCATCAAAAATCTTGTAGAGCCCGGGAACAAACGTCACGTCGCGGCAGTTCAGTCCTACGCCCTCGTCATACACCCACATTTGCTGGGGAAAGATGCCAATTAGCAATTACAGCGATGCGCGCGCACACGCTCTGTTAGGCGCTCTCAATCAACCTCCTGCAGCGCCAAAAGTGACAACACACAAAATCTTGGAAAACAGTGAGGTGATTTCTTACTTGGCTGACAGGCTCTACAGAGCCTATGTAGGTGTCTGGCCTGAGCAGAATGTGCTCCAGCTGCGTCTTCTTCTGGTAGATCCTCTCCACCGACAGTCGCTTCGGATCCTTCTTTGTCTTTTCCAGCGGCTTATTTTCCAAATAGGCCTGCAGGACACGCCATAAAGTTTGACTAAGTTGATTATATCCACACGATTAATAATTCTATTCAATCAACTCCAAGTCTGATTTGATTCAATCTGATTGGCTTCCTTAGACAATTTTTTTTTCTTTTCTCTGTCTGGCCGAAAAGGATATTTTGCTTCAACTCCATGTGTTTTGTAACTTTAAAATGAATAGCTAAAATATATAAAGGGAACATTTCACTTTAATTTTGTGTGTGGCTCCAAATCCAGGCCTCCATTGGTTAATAAATTTGATTTCCATTGATGATTTTTGTGTGATTTTGTTGTCAGCACATTCAACTTTGTACAGAACAAAGTATTCAATGAGAATATTTCATTCATTCAGATCTAGGATGTGTTATTTGAGTGTTCCCTTTATTTTTTTGAGCAGTGTGTGTGTATATATATATATATATATATATATATATATATATATATGAAAAATATTTACTTACCAATTCAGCTTATTAAACTGAATTACCGTAGATCATAAGAATATATTACATTCTAGAAATGAACTAGAATGTAATATAATGTGACTCCGCTGTTTACATGTGTCTGTACACTGAATCTGTCTTGCAAAGTGCAATTAAACGCCGTTTATTGTGAATTACTTGCATAATTCAATGTTTTGTGCTGAAAGGGTTAGGTTTACTTGTTTTGTTAAACTCTCGTTTTCCCTTTTGTTGTCCTGTTCCGTGTTGTGCATTTCTTTCAAAAGCTGTGATGCATCGTTTAGTTGCAAAAATGGTAGCATTATTAATTTCATAAAAACGAGTCAAGCATATTTATCTTGATAACCCTAACGCAATATGTTTATCTGCTCTTTTCATTTAAAAGTTTAACAACTTTCATAACAGTAAATTAATATGTTACTGCCACTAACAGAAATGTATGCGTAACAAATTTTACCTAACCGGTATAAAAGTAGCACGGCTAGCTAAATAAATAAATACTTGTTTGCAACATTTTCAATAGGAAAGAAAGGATATCTTGTTATTTTGTGCATGTTATGTGCTTGGACACAAACTATAGAAACAATAAAATTACCTGTTTTTTACCTCTACTCTCCATGATTTGTATTTGTAGCTTTTTAGTTTACGAGCTAAAGTCTTGCTAAGGTAGTTAACAATTACACACGTTGCTAGGTTGCTAACTTTAACCACCCAGTAGCAGTAAGCTCGCAACTAAAAGTTGAACATATGACATTAACGTTACCTTCAGTGGTTGAGCCATTCTTCTGGTGCTTTGTATTTGCAACAATTTAAATAAAATACGGCTAAACCTGGAGAAGCAACTTTTAAACGACTGAAACTCCGAACTAACCCCTACCGCAACGAAATTGGACCCTGTTTAAAAATTTGAATTTTGAGCAAACAGCTCCCGCTCGCTGCTTTGACCCAATTAGACGAGAGAACATTGCGACGACCCAGACTGTTTTCCTCCAATGAGGGACACAAACCAAACGCCAACCAATAGTTGGCCGAAAAAGTAACATTAACCCGCCTCTTTGATATTCACAGGCTAATCAGCATGCGTCGTGGTATTTCTGCTTCCTTTCGTCCACACGTTCAATATTTTCTTCAGCGCTATGAAACTAAGTTTCTATTACAAACAACAGCTACAATATAGTAAACAACTGTTTAATATATGTACAAAAAAAAAAAAGTAAAAGTGTTTACAACATGTGGCTCTGGAGCCTCAAGTGTCTCTTGACTTTCCACAATGGCTCTTTAATAACTTTAGCTAAAAATGATGAACTAAATAATGTTTATAAATTATTGTAACAAGTAAAATTTTGGTAGTTTTCTTTTTTTGTGGAATAATAGTATTGAATTTCCACAACTGAGTGACACTAAAAGTACCTGTATTATTATTTTTTATCTACTTTTACTGCCAGAGTAGGAAACCAGGTGTTTTTCAAAAAGTTTACAAACTTCACATAGAAGAACATTTTGCAAGATACTTTTCCCTTTATTTTAAAACTTGAAAATAGAAATAATATGATGATTCTTTAAAGACTGACTATAAATTCCCTATTTATCAAAAAATATAAGCTGCCTTTTTCAAAAAGTAAAGGAACATTTGTAGCTCCAAAGAACTTTTTACGTAGAGGAGCTAAGAGTAAAACGGCTCTCTGGGTTGTAACGGCTGCAGACTTCTGTTCAGTCAAACGTTTAGAATTTACTGAAACTGAAAAACACCGAAAAAAAATTCCTCCATTATTTGAATTGTAGCATATTTAATTGCAATGATGTTTAAAGTGTATCCCTAATGTATTATTATTACCTCCTAACCTATTTCACATATTGTGACATGTACTTTTGGGTATTTTATGTGACAGATTTGCACAAACAAGACTCTAATTGTTGAGTGCTTGATGATTACAGCTGTTTTAGGCAGATAACAGAACTATACCCCAACCTTTGTCTGTTTCAAAGTTTAACAAGAGGGTGGAGGCTCTGGAGGAGCTGCAGAAATCAACACTGAGGTGGAAGAATATGGTAAAAGGACAACTGTTAGTGGTGCTCTCCATAAAATCTGTACTTTATGGACAGAAAAAAAAAACATTACTGGAATAAAGTAAAAAAAATCTAGTTTTGTAGTTTTCCAAAAATATTTTGTAGGCTACAAATATCAAATGTGGAAGAAAGTATGCTTATCAAATAAGAGCAAAATTAAACTTTTTTGGCCTATGTGTTGTTGAAAACAAGCAGTAGAAATTACCCAGAAAACACATTTTCATGGTGAAACACGGTAGTGGCAGCATCATGCTGTGAGGATGCTTTCCTTTAGCAGGAACAGGATACTAACCACAGTTGATAAAAAACAAAATATCAGGTTAACATTAAATACTGAAAAAAATTCAAGGCTGGGTGAAGGTTGACCTTCCAACAAGTTGATAAACCTAAACATACAACCACAGTCATGATATAACAAGTTATGTCAAAACATAAAAAATACAGGTGTAGAAAACTTAAGGATTACAAAAAATTTAGATATTTCTGAAGATATTTTCTTCATTTTATTGAAAAACTCATCCACAGACAGCGCTCTTTCTCCTTAGGAAACTTTCCTTTTTTTTTTCTTGGCCAAAGTTTAGATTTCTTGCTTCATTCATCCTCTTTGACTGGGACTTCCTTCCTCATTTCCTCCATTTATTCAGTCATACACACACACACACACACACACACACACACACACACACACACACACACACACAACATAACCACACATGATAGCAGTCTGAAAGCCGTTCGCCGGTTAATGGCTTTATTTCCCCTGAGATGCACTGATGTATTTTAGTGATAGCCTTTAGCTAATGTGTTGCTCATCACACGCAGCTTCACTCTGCTAAGGTAACGCGCCTGAGAAGTCAGAGTCTCTGAAAGGAAGTGAGAAATCTATTCAGGATCCAAACTAATGTGGATCTTTATATTTCCCTGACCTGCAGTTCTGAGTCAGTTGAGAAGCTGTAAATGAGTCTTTTCTCTGTTGCCTACTCGGCTGACCTCGGCACAATAACAGGGCGGGATAGAAATGCTGTCGGCCAGCAGGAACGTATGCACACAGGGGCATCCATAGCGCACGTAAACACACAAGTACACAACACTTTTTGATTCACAACACCTGGTATCTTCAATTGCAAAAAACGATTTATGTTCTTATAAAAGAACGTGTCGGCCGTCATCATCCTCTCTATTCAGTAAAAACAGGATGTTTTTACTCCTCCACCCCTGCAAACAGGTACTTCACCGCCAAAATGTGGTATCGTGCAGATTTTCCAAGCAAAGTGGAGAGCCAACATGACAAGGGTGGATTAATAATTACCTTGAATGCGCTGCGTGGTACGAAATTATATCAACTCAGCAATTAAATCAGATTTTGATTGCCTCCTCTCATGTGATTAGATGCTGTTTGTTTCTAACATTGCTTTCCGCAGCAGCTGGAGTCGTTTTCCTGAAGTGCTCAACCTTCCTTTCAGAGAAATGGGAAACATATGGATGGAACAGTTAGTGCAAAAACACTGGTAATCCCCCTTTTTAATCCTAAATGTTACATATGAGGAGATGATCCACGAATAATCTTCAAAGTACACAAGCCGTTCGCTTTGTTTCTTCAAGACTTTCAATGCTTTCCTTAGAAATAAAAGATGTTGGCAAAAAGTCAGACACAAACATATATGTTCAATTTAAATAGTGAAGTATTAGGCTATATAAAACAGTAAGCAGAATGTTATTTTTTCCTCATTTCAGCTATATTAAAATGTATAAAGCAGCATCATCAACAGATGTTGCCAGAGAAATTGGTATGATCAGCAATGTCTAGCCACCAGCTGCGTTCAGTCTCCATGGTAACCAGCAGTGGTACTGATTGATGAGTGGTGGTTCTCTTGACTACCTCAAATCATTTGAACTTGTAGCTGATATATGTGCCACCGGAACAGATTTCGATGCTATGAAAACATTTCTCAGGTTGGATTTTGAAGCTTCTCTCTATTTAAAACCGTCTTCAAAATAATAATAAAAAGTCATAAAAAGTTCTGAAGCATCAAGTTTATGTTTAATCCAGTGAATCTAAAATGTGCTACTTCATCATCAGGAGCCTGTGTACAGACATCATACAGGTAGTTATTTGCTATTTTACTAAAAGTGTCTGTTCTTACAAAATTAATCACTCACAGTTGATTTTAATTCCAGTGGATTATTTTTTTATCTGCAGCTGTGCCGTTACTCCACCAGCTCTGGAATACACTCACACAGCCCTCCTTTTGCCATGTGCAAGTGGGCAGTTTGAATACTAAGTACTTAGCATCCAAAAATAGTCGCCCAGCAGAGTAGATGGAAGTCCTCTCAGACCCACCTGCTTTCCTGCTTATTTATTGATGGCTCTGTGTTTTCTGCTGCCTGATGAAGCCTGAATGTTGGGGGAAAGTGAAGCAGAGAGAAACTTCATGTTGTCACGGATCTGTTGACAGCTGCTTGAAAGAACGAGTTGCTGCAGCCCAAAAAACACTAAAACTTTACAGATGTTAGAATGAAAGATAAATGAATGACTCAACTGCAAAACGTCCGGCCCTTTAAGGACGCCTTTGATCAGTTCGATCAGGTTGTTGTGGCCAATAATACGGGTAAAACGCTGGCTGAGTATTTGGCCGCTCTTCTCTGAAAAAATTGTTCTGTCAAAAACTCTTGAGAAACTTTGTATTAAAAAAAAACATGGACATTTCTGAGCTTCAGAAGTTGAACATTTTCAACTTTTGAAACTCAGAGAATTTGCAATAGTCCAAAATTTTTGACATTCTAAACTCAGAGATTTACAAGTTTTTCCCTCATAAATTTTAACACTAATCTCAAGATTTCTGAGTTTTATTTCTTGCGAATTTTGAACTTTTCAAACTCAGAAATTGTACTTACTTTTCTAGCAAATTTCTGAGATTGCCCTAAAAAAAAACTTAGTTTTTTTGTTTGAAATGTACTCCTCTTTTTTTCTTTTCCCAATCTACAATGGCCCTGAAGCACCATCGTACAAACAGGATCACTGTCCTGTTAGAACACCCAACGAGGTCCAACTTTCAAAAGTTTGAAGCTAGTCTTTCTTCTTCATCATCCCATCAACCTTCTGCAGCACACCAACCTTTCTGGTACCAGAACAGGCCCACAACGTGATGCTGTGCTAAACAGTTGGTCCAGTGTTATTTGGTTTGTCAACCTAATCTTTGCTTTTTCAAACATACATCTCATCATTGTGGCTAAATTGCTCCATTTGAAATCTTTTCTCCATAAAGTGTTTAGCCTTTTCCGTGGGGACAGTAAGTAATTGGCCTCAGGTTTGAAGGTGTACAGGCTGCATGAGGGGTCAGTCTTTGGGTCAGCATCCTCTCAGTGACTGGGTCTGGTAGTTTGTCTGTGGAAAAAGGGAAGAAGTGTTTCAGCATGTTCAAGTTTGTCAGGCTTGAGACTAACAAATAATAATTCATTTTAGAGGAATAGCTTGAGTCAGATAGTTGAAACTTGGACATTTAACACATCATAATACATTACAGAGAAATGGATACATTTATATCCCTACCA